TCAGTCTCAGTCCATGACTCCATTCTTCGGCAACTACGGTGCAAGGCCGATACTGTAGAAACTTGCAATTTGTACCCTTGACCTGACCTTGACCTTGACCTCAAACTTTAAATTAAGTACATGTTGTTAGTTGTTCGTGATGAGAGCTTTCGATTGGCGTTTGAATTTTCCAAATCGGACCATTAGTTCGGGAGATAACAGGGGGGGGGGTAAAATTTACCCCCCAGCCCCGCGCGTTTGGCTGGAGACCCCAGCCCCGCGCGGGTTAACCTTCCAGGCGGTGGGGGGGGGCATTTTTTGCCCCCCTTAGTTTTTGCGATATATTTCGAGAACCGCTGCGCCGATCGTCACCGAACTTTCAGTACCCTCCCGTGAATAGCTATTGCACATTGTGACCAAATTTTTTTCAAAGGCTATGATAGATTGGATGCTAATGACGTCAGAGTGACGTCATTTCTGCCATTTTCGACCCAAAAAAAGGTTTCGCGAGAAGAGCTGTCAGGCCTACAGCTTTAAAGATACCTACAGAAAAATGTTTCAAACATAAAAGGTGTAGAATTTAGAGGGCTACAAAACTGATAGGTATATCGCATTTTTTTAACTTTTTGGATTTTGACCCCCAAAAATCAAAAAACAGATTTTTTAAAATAAAATAGCTTAAAAATCCAAAACGTTTTTTGAATTTCGAAAAAAAACGGAATATATGTGATAGTCACTACCGCCTTCTATCTACATACCAAATTTGAGATCGATACCTCTTTTTTTTGGAAAAAAAACTCTTTTTGGCCAAGTTATAGCGAAAAAGCTGTTCAAAATGGATGACGTCAAATTTTCAAACTCATTTTTTTTTTTTTTAGCAATTATAGACCTCGTAGCGCAAAACAAAGACCACCATTAGACTCCCTGTGACGAACTGCATCGAATCAATACCCATTTTATGCAAAAATATCAACTTTGAAATTTGATCTTTTTTTACCTGACCTTGACCTGACCTCCACCGGAAAGTGACCTAAATCGTACCTGATGGTCTTATAACCAACACCATTGAGCTGGAAATGAAAAACTGCCATAAAACATGCATCGCACAACCTTAGTAAAGTTGGGTTCATGACCTTTGGTGACCTTTGGTGACCTGACCTCTGACCTGACCTGGTATGACCAGTGACCTCTAATAGCAACATAATGACCTTTTCCGGTCAGGTCATGACCTTAGAGCATGAGGTCAAATTTTCAAAATAACCTTTCAAGGTCAAATCACAGTTCATTCGACGCGTATCGACGAGAGCAAAACGACACTGGCAAAAGTAATGACATGACTCATGATTCAAAAGTTATAACAAAAAAGGAAAACGGCTATCTTTAGAGTTTTTGCCCTCTGAAGGGTAGGTAAATCGTTGGCGTGAGGTCAAATCTGAGGCCACACATAAAAAAAAACATTAAAAGGGCTATCGAATGCGCTTATCCGCGGCGTTGTAATTCCCGGGCTGGTGCCGGTTTTTCGAAAATGGTAGAAATAGGCAAAGTTTAAACTTTGATGACCTCTGGTGACCTGACCTTTGACTTAACCTAAAAAATGGCTGATGCATTTCCTTCATTATTTTTGACGCTCTTTCGGATGCTAATTAACGTGTGTCGCTACGAACCGAGTCAGACGGGGGGGGGGGGGGGTGAAAAGGCCCCAGCACGACACGGAAAACTATGACCACCAGCTGTGGCTGACAGCCATTCTTTTCAATCTGACGAATCTTTAGTTTTCATTTTCACGCCTCCTGAGTCAGCTTCACTCGTTATATTTCACCCACAGGCACGTTAACACCTAGCTGACAAGGCAGGTGATCCCCGGCCGTACAATTCAGCGATGAAAATGTGATGCTCAAATCACATTTGCGCACGTCAAAAATCACCGTCGGACGGTTCCCGGATGATCTTTACATGACCATGAGCTTTTAAAATGTTTCACAAAGAGGCCCGATCATGCCGAGGCCATGCGATCGGACGACCTGCGCCGCCCTGTCCATCAGTCTCTATCACGGCGCGTGTGACATTAAACGGCGTCGGGCGGCCTCCGGGATGGTGAACTCGGACGCGGCCGTGGGCGTGGCTGTGCAATAAAACGCCGTCGTGTCGGTGGCGCCATGGAGGAGTGCTGCGGCTGCGCCGGAGGATGGCCGCGCTGAGGACGGCGGCGCCGCTGGTGGCGCTGCTGCTGCTGCTATCCCCCTGGTGGGGCGGCGGAGGGGCCGCCGGCGGCGCCGCAGGGCTGGCCGCCGCCGCGCCACTGGCACCCAAGCGAAGCTTTGCCCCCTCATCTACCCCGCAGAAGACTGTAGCAATAGTGCCGATCGTTAAAGCGACCATAACGTGAGTGGTATCAACGAACTTTTGATTTTTCCACTCCTTGGGACTCTGTTGCAATCTGACAATTTTTAAGAGTTGCATAGATTTTGGTGATATCACAGGTCCTACAGGCTCAAACTAAGAAAATGAAATTTTAGCAACATCAACAACCTTGTCAGTTGCCAACAACAATTTACTTCAGTGTTTTAAATCGATGATAATGTCTGATGCTATGACGAGGCAGGTATATAAGCAATTAGTGCAAACCTAGCTGATAAGTGATAGCTACTAAGAAATGCAGTATGCACTATGCACTGAACCTAATTTGACCAAATCCTCACCAAATCTGCACCTAATCTACACCAAATGTGTACTAGATGGCCGTCGTGGAAACGGCTATTGTTTGAGGCAAATGGACTCAATTAACTCCTTATTTTCCAGCATTATTCAACTATGCAAGAAGGTAAAGTGGTGCAACAAAGCACTTAAGAAAGGAGAGAAGTCAGTTAAGAAGGTTATAAAGAAGTTTAGGGAGTGGCTGAGACGTCGAAAAGAGAGACGTCGAAGAAGAAGGGCAAGACGGAGGAAGCGCAGGAGGGAACGACGGAAGCGCAGGAGGGAACGACGGAAACGACGAAAGCAGCGACGCAAGCAGAGGAGGCAGCGACGCCGAAAGAAGGTGAAGAAACTACTGAAGAAATTGGGATAGGTAGACGCTGACAACCAGATTTTGGCAATCATCCATGACACTATGGGATTTTGCGTATTGAATAAAACTGAAATGAAACTGAACCCATGCTGTCTTTTATGAATACATTCGAATCTTCTTCAGTTTTACGCAGAATGAGGGTGCACTTACTTAGTCGATTCACTTTTACTGTATCCCCGAAAACATTTAAGATGCTTTTTCATCTACCTTTTTATGTGGTTCGGCTACAGAGAAACTGCTTTCTGTGAGTGTGCGAAATATAGGCATGCATTTCGAGCGTGAATTTATGCCGTCAGCTAAGCGGTGCTTTCAATAGACGGCAAAAAATTACACTAGCCTGCCTATGTATTATGCTGATTGCTGAGTGTCACGTTTTCTCTGTCAATTAAAGACAGCTATACCGGAGATACAGCTAGTGATTTTGTCGGCTGATTTCGCTCCAGTCACTAACTGAGAGGATATGGCCGTCCGACAACTGAGACGGAAAATTGCCGTCCCACTGACAGCGCACGGAGCCCGGGACCGTCCGCCGTACGGAACCCAACCGGCACGGGGCCGCCCGAACGCAGGAGGGTTCCGCTCCGTGTCTTAGAGGTCCGGTGCGACGCACATCGCTGCCGGTGCTACTGGCCGAGTAACAACAGTCAGTTCGACACTGATTGAAGTCCGGGGTCATCGGCACAACTCCTGGACTCAGGAGGGGGGGGGGGGAGATAATCACCGCGCACGGCGCCCTGCCACCTTAACGACCAACCAGTGCCAGCGCAGTGGTACTGGTGGCATATGTGCGGTGAAAACTAACTTTGGTGAAGCCAAAGTCTGCTGCTGAGGCCGACTTACAGGATTTGTATGGTTTCACGAGCGACGAGACCGTGCCTACTGCCTACTGCCACATATACAATATACATACGTATGGACTGGCGTCTGACATACCGACAGCGGACTAATTACTGGTCATGTTTCCGTGGTCATTATCAACGAGTTCAGATTAGAAATCGGATCGCGTAATCTCGATTTCGGAGGCCATTTCCGTGACCGATCCTGTCTAAAATGGGCTTCAGACCAGGATAAGCCGATCCAGATCGGCAGCAACAATCCCGCATCAGTAGGTGTACGCATAAACTTGCAAGTTGCACGGCTATGACGATTAACTTCATACTTCACGGCAAACGACATAACGTCCTCAATGTAATATAAGCAAAACGGTAAAATTGTATTATCAGGGGATTGTCGTACTGAGCGCTGCACAGTCTTTTGGAGGCCGTACTGATTACAATTTAGAGACCGCTCTGGCCATGTCAGAGGCGTTACCAAACCACGGCCGGCGGCTGGGGGGAGTGTTCCTGACTCATTCTCATAGGCGGCGGAACGGGGGGGGGGCACCGGGGCACCGTGTCCCCCTTGATTTTGACATTTTAACATTAGCCCTGTGGGTTTTGCATGGAAAGAATGGGACCAAAAGTCGGCAGTGTCCCCCCCCCCCTTAATTGAAGGTGCTCCGCCGCTACTGCTCATTCTGTCGTCTCGTGACTCACTGTATGGAATACCTGCCTTGTTTCTCGTTTCGTCCCACCCGAGTGCCCATACGATTGATGTGGCAGAAGCGAGGCAGCCACAAATGAACCATACGATTTCACATAATCCAACAATCCGCTTCACTAGCATCGCATAAAGGCTCCTTCTTGTCCTATTGTCTAGCTGCATGACAATCGCACTATATGCAGCAAACAATACCGATGTCACGGCTCAAATCGCGTCCAAGTCCCGTGCGCCACAATGCGGCACATCCGTCCGGCGGGCACTCACTACGGCCGGCGCTGGACCGGCCCACGACCCCAGCACGGCACGGGGCGGCGCTCGCCCTGGGCACCCAGCTGTCGGTGCCGGCTCACCTGCGGCGGCGCCCGGGGCTATCTGCTCCTGCCGCCGCCGCCGCCGCCGCCGCCGCCGTCAGTCGGTGAGCGGCGCGCTGCGGGCCGGACGGGCGGAGCGGCGCGCGGCGTGACTGATAGTGGGCGCTCCAGCCAGCGGCGGGGCGTGGTGGGCTGTGCTGAGCGCGCCGCCCCTCCCACAGCGCAGCACAATGCGCCAGAACAGCCAGCAGCCGCAGTTCGAGCCGGACCTGGCCGGAAGTGAACCCCCGGCGGCCGGAAGCGAGGGGGAGCCGCCCGGTGACAAGCGGCCCAGCTCTGCCGACAGTGCCGAGCCGGCCGGCGGCGAGCGCACCGCCACAGCCACCATGGACGAGCCCATCCAGCTGCCGCAGAGCTTCGTCGTCAAGTACCTCGGCAAGCGCGAGGCCGAGAAACTGTGGGGCATCAAGTACACGCGCGGACCCGTCGACGAGATGGTGGCGACCGCCAAGGCGATGCGTCCCGGTCAGACGCTGCCGCTGCTGCAGCTGAACGTCTCCGACCACGGCGTCAACATCACCGAGATGAAGCAGAACCTCAACAAGAACTTCGAGGCCGGTAACTACCCGATCGACGTCATCTCGTACGGCGTGCAGGACATTGTGTTCACGCGTGTGTTCGCCATGATTCTGGTGCGCGAGAACACGCCCAGCCCGTTCGAGTGCCACGCCTTCGTGTGTGACCGGCGCGAGAGTGCACGCAAGCTGACGTTCGCCCTGGCCACGGCGTTCCAAGAGTTCAGTAAGCGCGTCAAGCGCGAGGAGGAGCCGCGCAAGTTTGCCATCGACCTGCGCTCTCCAGACGAGATCGAGGCGGAGCTGCGCGGGCAGCATGCGCAGCAGGACTCGGAGGCCTAGTGGGCCGTCAAGCGCCCGAGGAGTGTGAAAAATTGACCTGTCGTCTAGTGAGCCACTTGATGACTTCTTTTTATACCGAGTGATTCTTCACAGGCGTGACGAAAAATAAGGTCATTCTGCTAAAGTGCCGTAGCTTTGTCAAGCTCAAGTGGTCGTCTGTTTTGCGTTCAAGAGGTCATCTCGCTGCGGCTTATCAGGGGGACCACTGCGCGTGTCTCAATATCAGACGCGATTTCCTTTCCGGTGGATGTTGCCTAGCCGGGTGTGCCCTAGCCGTGCCGAGGGTTCCTCTGGCTGCCTCAGTGTCATGACCAGGGACTGCCGTGGTGCAGTTATGATGCCAGTATCGTGACGGTCGGGCGCAGTGCGCCGTGGCCGGGGAGTGATGGGGGTTTCGTGACGGCGCGGCGCGCGGCCGACTCTGTGACCCGCTCTAAGGCGGAGGCTCGTGGCACGTGCACGGTCTGCACCGCCGGCCGCGCAGAAAGCCCCGGCGCCGTAGTGGTGTGGTGCTCAGCGGCCCGTGGAGGCCGGATGCGTTACCGGGGCGGACGGCCGCCCGACTGCAGTAGGACCGGTGTCATCGCCCCAGCCCGGCCGGACGGCACGGCCCGCGGCCCGCCCGGCCAGTGGGACTCCGAGCTGAGACTCACGGAGCCCGGAGCTGACCACTCAGAACTCGGTCTCCAAGTTCCTCTCCGTGTGGAGACAACACAGCCCCATCAGGCAGCTACCTACCTACCGACGGCGGCCGATTGGCGCCGGCGGCCGTCTTGTGATATGCGTGAAGTGTTGTGCGAACTCGTGTCGGCTCGGGCCGTCCCGGACGTCACGGCAGATACGGGGCCGGTGGCGATAGGGGCGCTCCCAGCTCCCGGCAGCCGCCACCGTCATGTTGACCCTGCCCGACAGTGGAGTGACGCCTGATTGCCGGTCGTGTCAGCTCGCACCGGACCCGGCTGACCGTCAGTGTCGGCTCGGGCGCGCCGCTCACCGTCGGCTGATAGTGCTATCGGTGCCATGCGGTCGCCCCGATTGTGGCTGCCGCAACTGGGGCGGTGTGCCGCACTGGCAGCTTCGGGGAGGGGAGCCGAGCGGCCGCCGACACCAGCTCAGCTGGCCCAGTTGTGACGTCAGATGCCTCTGCTTGTCAGTATTGTGTGTAATTGAATATTGAGCCGGGTTTTAGGATAGACAGCAAATAATGATGACGATTGGAATGATAACAGTGCTGAATAATTATCAATGATTATTTTGATCTTGCTTGTTTTGCGATATTATTGTGACTTATGCTGTATATAAATGTCGGCAACTCCCATAATCTTTTACCGTTGAACACACATTTCTGGAATGTTTCCCCGCCGGCCGCGGCGCGGCTCAGAAATTTGCCTGTCATGCCTCTCACAATGCTCCGCCGCCAGTGCTGTGACGGAGCGGCCGTGGTGATATCGCCGCGCCGGTGAGGCGGCAGTCGGACAGCCGGCTGGGAGATCCACTCATCTGGGGAACGAGGTCGGACGTTAGCCGGCTGTCGCCCCGCCGCTGCGCGCGACAATCGAAAGTGGTCCACCGTCGACCGCGAGCGGCGAAAAGCGCCGCTCCTGCCGTCAAACAGCGGCGAAATCAGATACAACACCCGCGGCTCTCCGCTGAGGGCATCTCGTTGCCTGCTGGCGCGGCAGCTGGGCTCCCTTATAGCGGGACCATTCTGTAGACCCTGCCGCGCGCCGTGGGTGTTTTGTCGATCTGCCGGCGCGAGTTCCGGTACGCCACACTGATTTCGTGATTACGGGAGGGTCGGTGAACGCAGAGCGCAGCGGCAGTAATTATGTTTTTGCGAAACTTTTTGGTGGCTGGCTGCCGATTCCCTTCGCTTTCTAGCGTCATTACTGCCAATGCAACCCCGCACATCGTCACCATTCATTGGTGTCTAGGCCGCCAACATGCTCGTCGGCCGTGTAAAAACGTCGCCGGCTGAATTTCTCCGGCAGCCGCCGCGCCGGTGTGGGATCGGGATCACAGCAGAGCGGGACTTTGGAGAGCGGCACAGAGGGAGGGGGCTCAGCAGTGGCTATGTAGTTTCTCAGCACTGTCACGGGTGATTATAGATCTGCTGAGAGTGTCTCGCGCCGTCACTGTCAGAGACAGCGAGTTTAGCTACCACTGCAAGTGACGGGTCAAATGAGAAGGTGCAGGTGCGAACATTTGGCACGGAACTTTGCAATCGCCAACTCAGCGCAAATGATGAATTTCCACTTTGGCTTCCCGGTCTTATCAAATCGGCAGCAGAGAGTGCTGAAGGGCAAAACAATGGTATATCTCTAATCTCTATACCCCTAATACCTACCACTCCTCAGGTGTTCATGTCTCGTGCACCTCACGAGCTCCGCGATACCACTATCGCTCAACTGGGAAAACAAGCTGATTGAGCAGCGGTATCGCTGCAATCCCACCCCGCCATCCACCCTGCCCGGCTGACGGGAGGTCACCGGTGCAGACCCCGCCGCCACACCGCTCGAGCCGCCGACCCTGACCGGCCGGCCGTCGGCCCGTCCCGCCTCTGGTCATCTGAGCGGAACACCAGGGGAGGACCGGCAGAGGAGGGGAGGGGAGGCCCATCCCCGGCCGGCTGGTCAGGTGAGTCACGCACGGCGCCCCTCCCCACACCCCTCCCCCTCCCCCGTCGGCCGCTGAGGGCGGTCACGTCTCGCGTCACCTGTCCTGTGCGGGCGGGGTGGGGTGGGGTGGTTTTTGTCCCGGGGTGCATTACTGTACAAATTGGTACTCACCGAAGCAAAGGGGTTAGGGTGCGCAGTTTGAACCTGCACTTATTATGATATCCCGCGCCGAGCCGGGGGGGGGGGGTTGTTTGAACACCCCCCTGCAGTTTTTCGCAGATATCTCAAAAACGGCGGCGCCCGCGCCGCCGTTTTTGGCACACCTGTTCGTGCATCTTTTCCGCACATGTGAAGATTTCAGACCCAGGTCGCCTTAGGTCAGGTCACCAGGTCACGCCAAGTGACATCACCTCAAAAAAAAGAATGCTCGTCATAGCTACACCGACTGATCGATTGCCTTAAAACTTTTAGCGATTGATAAGAGCAACATTATCTATAAAATGTATATCTCGGAACTTTGATATCGGTGACCTAGGGTCAGGTCAATTTTGCGGCCTTTCCATTAGGGGAGAGTGGGGTAAGATGCCCAGGGTGGGAAAGACGCCCCACCCCCTCTAGCGGCGAAACAAAGAATCGGACCTGGAAATTAATGTTCTTAGCGTAAAGCGGAAGCCTGCCTTGTTAACTGCACAAAAAATTGCGAAGCTCAGTTGGGCAACGACTGGCTGATGATTGCATGTTTTTTATTTGCTGCTTTCAAAAAATGTTTTGGTGTCAGAACATTGTAAATATCAAAGAAGGTAAATAACTTTTGCGTCCCTTGCTATAGTCGTGATACATCAGCATGCGTGTACTGTGTCCCAAACAGTTTGTTTCAGGGTGTAGTTTTATGGCTAACAAATTGTACTGATTTAATGTTACTTCCGTACCTTGGGGTAAGATGCCCCCTGTCCTGATGGGGAAAGACGCCCCCCTAAATCCGCAGGCTGTCCTTCAAACAGCCTGTCAAATCATTTATTACATACTTGTGATGTAGACAAAAGCCGATCTGGGACTATTGAGAGTCCAGTACGGTCGGGTGCTCCCCATGCCGGTCTCTCGGCCCACATAGCGACTTTTTGGGCGGCATCTGACTCTTAGAGCCCTCACGACGGCCTCTGTGGGCCCCATTATTGGCTCCAGGGCCCCTCACGACATCCTTTGAGGGTTCCCACGTTGGCCCCACGGGCCGCGCTGGCATCGGAAGTCCCCACGATGGGCTCGAGGGCCCTCAAGCATTAAGAAGACCTATAAGAGCCCCACAGTGGTCTCCGAACGCCACCACGGAGGCTTGTTTGGCCGCGCTGGACTATGATGGCCCTAATGATGACCTCTGAAGCCCCTTACGACTACTTTTGAGGGCCCTTATGATGACGTTTGGTGTCTACTGCAGGCTCGAAGGGACTACTGATTCGTTCAGGCGATTCACATGCCCATTTATGTCACTTATAGTGCAGGGGGCATCTTTCCCAACGTCAGGGGGCGTCTTTCCCACCCTGTGGGGTAAGATGCCCCCTTTCACTTCTTCAGGAAAATGCTTAATAGCAAAAAAAGTTATAATATTTCAGGCACGAAAGTGTGATGTTGTTGAAGAAAAATGATGTCGGCTTCCGTTGAAACTCCAAGTTTTTGCTTTCCCATCGTCATTTTCGAATAATATATGACATAGCAAAACCCTGGGCATCTTTCCCCACTCTACCCTACCTATAAGTCAATGGGAGAAAATTGAAAAGCGTCTGTTTGGCAGAAACGCTATTCTAGACACTCTCTAACATCGAGATGAAGGTAAAATGGACACACTGAACCGGAAACTATGGCAACTGTGACCCCTTGTCATGTCCCCGAGGTCATCTCAGGTCACGAACAGAATCTAACAGTTTTTCGCTAATAACTTCTGATAGAGGCGTGCTAGAGCGCTGAAAACGCCTTTGTTGTGTTCGGCTCGACGTTGCGGATCGACTGATATGCAACATGACCTTTTCCGGTCAGGTCATGACCTTGACCTGAGGTCAACTTTTGAAGTTGACCTTTTAAGGTCAAATTATAGTTCATTCGACGCGTCTCGACGAGAAGAACACGATGCTGGCAAAAGTAATGTCATGGCTCTTTCGAGTCAAAAGTTATTACCGAAAAACGCTTTTCGTAAAAACGGCTATTTTTGGAGTTTTTGCTCTCTGGAGGCTAAACCCTTGACCTGAGGTCAAATCTGAGAACAATATCCAGAAAGGTCTGTAAAAGGGCTATCGAATGCGCTTTTCCGCGGCGCTATAGCTCTATCGGTTCCCGAAATAGCCGTTGGCAGTTTCCAAAATGTTGAAATAGTCGACATTTTACCTTTGGTGACCTCTGGTGACCTGGCCTTTGACCTTACCCAAAAAATGACTGAAGTGTTTTCGTCCTTATTTTAGATGCTCTTTCGATTGCCGCTTACCTCGTGTCGCTACATGGCCCAGGAGCCGAGTTAGAAGGGGGGGGGGGGGTTCAGACACACACCCCGGCCCGGCGCGGAATCTCGGAGCACCGGCCCGGCGCGGGATATATTCTGGGTTTTGATCCAACATGCTGATACTATTTCAGGCTGCTGTCATTTTAAGTCAAACCACCAGTAACATCACGTGTTGGTGACCTTAGGTGACCTCAGTGACCTTGGAAGGTCACAACCACGGGTCACTACCGTTTTCGCCCATTGCAGCCATTCTATAACTCACTAGACAGAAACTATAACTGGGCCAATCGAGACGAAAACACCACAATTCGATTCACCGTACAGGGACCCGCAGTTGCTTCTGTACACACTAGTAGTTCAGCGTATTCTTGGCCTGTGACACCGTTGGAGGCGAATTGGGAAATGATTTTGTGCTTATTAAAACCACCATCTGAAGGGCTTTAAACTGATGTGCTGGTCTCCTAATTCAGTGAACTTTTTATGGCTGTATCAGCAAAACACTGTTTTCAGCGCTTTTTCCTGCCCCATTCCTTCTGAAACCTGGAACCGCTTATTCCATTTACTCCTGCCATCTGACGATGGTCGTGCTGACTACTAGTTCCGGCGCTAGTTACTGCTCCAGTTTTGCACCCGGCACAAACTCAGGTGGCACCGGGCCGTGGCTCGACCATGGGGAGGGTCGGACCGAGCCGACTGCCTGGGGCGCGGTTAGATCTCATCGGACGCCGTGCTGGGGAAGGGGACGGGAGTGAGGGGGAGTGGAGGAGGTGGTCACGTGGTCCGTCCAAGCTCGCAGACGACCTGTCCTGCGCCCAGCCATGTTCCGTGATCCAAAATGGCACGAGAGCTGTGGAATGCCTGAAGGAGACTCTTCGAAAGCGAACTTCAGCAGCACTAATTTACCATATTCTGTGGAGATAAATGAATATTATATTAATGCAGAAAAAATTGTATGCTCAAGCTGTATAAGCTGTATCTTTTAAAAGTTGTAAATAGGATTATTTTTAGGGACTTATAGGTTTCGTATACACAGTGAATTGTGTTACAATAAGCCGTTTCGCTGTTATGGTTACTAACTGAAGAGTTATCCTTTTTTCTCACAGGAAATGACAATAAATAACAATAAGAATAAAACCAGACGTTTCGCACAAAAAGTGCCTCCGTCAGTGGCAAGAAATAAGTAATTAGGCATACATGTTTTCTTTCGATAAAA